CCTTATAAAGTAACAAAAATATGAAAGAACTTAAATCAACTTAAATCATTAAGATCAAAGTAATATATTTAATCTTACATTTTTGTTACAAACTTTTGATATAAAATATGTTCATACAAGAGGTGAATTTTGTAGTCTTTATTACCTATCCTCTGATATTAGGTATATTTTGGATTCCACTGCAGTACCAAGATTATTCCTACATTTGTTTTCACCGTGGCATTATTTAAAAATCCCTGTTCACACAAGTCCATGGCAACAAAAGATAGAAGCACATCCATTTTATGTCTTGAGATATTTGGATATTCCTAAGTTGGACTAATTGGAAAAGTATTAATTGTTTCATTATGAACAATCTTCTTTTTAGAGAAACTAAGGGCTTCAATTGTTCATCTCCAAGTTTGCAGTAGTTCTTGTCTTTTTAAAATTAATACATAACTTTGAAAACCACAAAATTATGCCCTTTTGATTAAAACTCTTTAAGCTATACTGGATTGATGACAGACAAATTTGTTTAGTAAAAATATCTAATTAACAATTAACATTCCATAGCACAATAACATCTGTCACCCTTAAGCAGCCTCCTGGAATCAAGAGAGGCCTATATGGAGATTACTGAGAAACTGAGTAGATCTGGAACCATTTTGTTGGTAGTTAGCACATTACAGCAAAATAAAACTTACCACTGTCAGGCAAAATGCCTTTCTAGAGACAAATATAGCTGTATACTTACTTTTTAAGTTTAATTTCTCCTATTAATCTGAATCTGGCCCAATTCCTTGCAAAATAATATCCAAGTTGTTTCACCATAAAGATACATTTGTCCTTCCTCATTTTAATGACCATCTAGTTGCACACTGAAATCACTTTTTCTAGTCCTCAAATTTCCTCTTTATCCCCCAAAGGGGAAACAGACATAGTAGGAACATAGTAGGAGCATACCTGGAACATAGTAGGAAGTCAGCATTTGTGGGAACAAGAAGAGGGAGAATGGGAAGGGGAAGGAAGGAAAGAAGGAAGTCAGGAAGCAAGCAGGCATATAATAATAAATGATAGTTTATTATTCAATAAGTGGTCATGATTATGATTGCTGTCACTATTCATATTTTATAGATGGAGTTGTAAGTCCATTTGCTTGCATTTACGAAGACTTCATTAGTCCTTCAGACATTTTGTTGGGGCTTAGCTACAATATAATCATATTTCCAGGCTAACATCTCTGAAAGAAATTTACCGTGGCTTCTGTTTTATTTCTAAGTATAGGGTATTGACATTTTAAAACAAAGCAACAACAAAAAAAGTCTTTCTGAGATATTTGCACCAAGAACAGCAAGTTATGGTTTCATGAGGAAATGGATTTTCTATGAAATGCCAAATTCCATTAAATGGCTATTTCATAGAGTTCAGCAAAATAGTGTTTTTTTTAAGTTTACATGTTTAAATTTAGATCACTGAAAGTCCATTTCAAGAATGTTTTCTGAACACAGAAAGAGCATCTTCACTCAGTTGTGAAGAAGGCCAATTTTCTTCTACTTTACACTTTCACTCACCATTTTGCTCTTCTGAGCTAGAAAAGCCAACGATGACACTCTGTTAGCCTCTAAAGTCTCTATTAGTGTCCACATAATCATCCCTAGAGTACTATTATATTTTAGCACTTTCCAGAGAAGTTATCAGATTCAAAAAACATGGCTATTTGTCAGTATCCTCTTTTCTCTGTATCAAGTGGAATTTCCCCCTCCCCTGTCTTTCTCACCTGGAATGTGTTCTCAGTGTTTGAAATCATTTTAAACTAAAAAAGTAATTCTCCATCTTTGTTGGTTCTATCCGACAAAAAGGAAACGAGGTGTCATTAACATCCACACTGTCCTATCCCTCACCCATGGCAGACATCAATAATTGATTACGGCAAACACAGAGCCTAGATTTGAACACAGAGTTCATATCAACATGGGCTTCCAGGCAGTCACCCGCAATTAATTAGACGATTTATGTGAGAAAAAGCTTGTTCTGCCGTCGCTGGTCTAGAAACTACCTGAAAGCAGTTAGGGCAATTAGATACCCTGACATCCATTTCAGTTCTATTATTCATTCTCACCTACAAATCATTTTACCCCCCAAATTTAGGAGAGACAACACAAGCAATCTTTCATACTCTAGAACAGTAAAATTTCAACATTTGCCATTCTGTTTGTCAACAATCAAGTAAGAGAGTAGCAACTAGGTGTAAGTTTAAGTAGTAGTAGTTGTGTGTCCTAGGGAAAGACACCCCCATGTATCCTCTGTAAAGTTGAAATCAAACTCCATGATTGAATTACACTATCATTCCCCAACGTGGCCTTTTAGTGGTCAAGATTGCAGTGGTCTCTATAGATCTATAAATCAAGAAAAAGTAAGTACATGAGAAGTCTGTAAGATGGATGTTATTGGAAATGTGGAGTAAAGTTGGTCTTGGGTGAAAAGGAATGGAAAGGAGATCTCAGGAAGAGAGGGAGAGAATATGGAACTAACCCTGCCCATTCAGGTTGACAAAACATGAGACAAGAAAGGTATTAATGCTCCTGCAGAATGGAAGTCCCAGACTGTGAAAGAAGGTATGGCCACAGTCATCTAGTCAGAACCCACCATATTTTACCTCAAAAAGTGTGGTGTCTGTGGAACTTTGCATCTGGGTATTTTGTGCTATAGTCCATCTGAGTCACCCAAATTTTCATTTAATGGTACAGCATGTTTTTATAATTGAAGCTATGGAAGAGGGATATGTCCTGATTATGAAGTAAACTGGAGGAGGGATTGGGTAATTATCCGGGTCGATAATCTTCAGAGCCCAAACTCAAGAAATAATCACACATTGCCACCATTTTCCATGTGGAAGTGGCAAGAATGTACCTTTGGTTAATAGGTTAATATTTTTCATCAGGCAAAATGTTACCAAGTTAATATGTTTAAAATGATTACGTGCTCTTTAAAAAAATGATCTTTATACAATAGAATATTTGGGTAGCAGAAACTAACTTCTATGTACATCTTTCTTTTATTCAATCCTCCCCCCAAAATCCATGATCAAAGCTGTTCTAAGACTTGTAATACTAAAGTAAGGCATTGTTTTTCTTGTATAGATGGATGGTCTTCCCAACCCAGTATCTATAGAAGGCATCATGTGAGTACTTTACACAGCAATGGGAATAAGTCTGTCCACACCACTCACCTAGACCCCATTACAAGTATACCTTTTAGGTAGTAAAATTTGAGGTCCCAGTCTTACTTGTATTTTTTTTTTTTTTTTTGCACAACTGGGAATTAAACGTGTGAACTTGGTCTCAAATAAATGTCATTTGTTGGAATTCAATTGAGATACACTGTCTCTCCTATCCCTGTGGAAATAATAATCCAGCTTCCAGCTACTTTAATATTATGTAAAGTCCTGGTTAAATAACAAAAACAAAAGCAAACAAACAAGAACAAAAACCACCTGCCCTGAGATCCACCCTGACTCCTCTCATGCAGGACCCTAGCTAATGCTAAAAGCGTAATATGATTTTTATGAAGAGGGAGATGTTCCTTGACATAAAATAAAACATGCTGTTATTAGAAGGAAACCAGAGGAGTTTATGAAGGTTCAAAATCTTCCCCATATTTTTCTGGTTTGCTAAATAGAGAACTGATGAATCACATGAATGGGTGTGCTCATGTTCCTCTCCCCAGCTCCAAGCTCCTCTCCTTTGGGGAGGGGGCGGCTTGAAATGTACAGCACTCTCTCAGCCTGCTTTCAACCCTCTGGTCTCCCATCAAAGCAGTAGAAGTCTAGAAACTGTTACAAATTTTCCCCTGATCTGACTGGAGACACAGTTTCAGGAGAGAAGAATCAAACAGCCTATATCAGTCAGAATTCCCCAGAGAAGAAGAATCACATATATGTAGGGATATACAGATATACAGATAAGAGATAAGAGAGAGACAATAGGGTATATTTTATTTTTGTAAAATATAATATGTATTTAAATATTATATATTTAAATATTATATATTTTAAATATATTTCCATATTTATATATTTTATAAATAAAGACATTTGTTTCAAGAAATTGGCTCATGCAATTGTGGGAGCTGGTAAGCCCAAAACTCCTAAGGCAGGCCAGTATGCTAGAAATTCAGGCAAGAGTTGCAGTCTTGAGTCCAAAATCTATAGGGAAGACCAGCAAGCTGGAAAGCACAGGCAGGATTTTTATGTTACAGTCTCAAGGCAAAATTCTTTCTTCTCCCCAAAACCTTAGTTTCTATACTTAAGATCTTCAACTGATTATGTGAGTACCACTCACATTATCAAGGGCTCTTTCATCTCAAGTCAACTGTAATTGTAAATGTTAATAACATCTACAAAATACCTTCCTGACAATATCTAGACTAGTGTTTGATCCAACAACTAGGCACAATAGCCTAGCCACGTTGACAATTGAAATTAAGCATCATGCATCAGTCCTACTGGTGTGTCAAATTGTTGATCTTCCAGAAATTAACTCTTCACATATCATTCTACCAGGTTAATAAATATGTGATTTTTCTTATTCTAAAATAAATTCAAGAAATGTCAAAATGATTGCTTCATAAATAGCACAGACCCTTTAGAGGAGAAAATTGTGTTGCAAGCTTTAGAGTTGTTTAAAGATAAAAGAAAATCTCTAAAGCATTGCAAGGTCCTTAAATATAGGAATAAATTATAGGACTAAATGTAGAAATAAATTGGAATTTGAAAACATTCTAAGGGTAGATGTCTGATACTGTTATCACTGCAGAAGTATACGACTTCTGGAATTGAAGCAACACAGCTAAAGCCAACACACACACAAGACATGCTATACCAGCAGGTTTTTCCCTTTTACAGGAAAGAGAAGTACAACCTTTTAAAGAAGTTTACATTCTCTGTGATTGCTTTGGCTTCAGTAAATAAGATCGAGAAGAAAAGGAAGGTGTTTCATAGTCGCCAAAAATTCAACAATAGACAAAATGTGGAACTGATTTATTTTATGACACCATAAATTCAACATCCTATTGTTCTAAAAGTGCCTTTCATTTATTCGTGAGTGTTGTTATTCGACATGATCACATGCCTGCTATGTCCCAGGCTCTCTGCTGGTTACTGGCGATGCAGTGTTTCCAGCATCATGGCAGTGATACACAGAAGGAATTGCTTGTGTTCTTAAAATACCTGTGAGGCAGAGAGATAACATTTTTTTTTTTTGTGCATAAATACATAAACATTGCCTGAATGGCTATACCGTCACCTTCCAGATAGGTGCGGCGGCCAAGCTGGGTCAACAACATTTGTGTATGCTTAGTAACGTCCCTCTTTGAAGTATGTCTACCTCCCAACACACCCACCATGCTCCCGGATCCATCATCTTTCTTTCTTTCCTGGTCGCTTTGAGTTTTTCCTCAAAGTAGCACAGATCATCCCTTATTTGTTTGTATCTTTTTCTTGTTCATCATTATATCCCCTGTTCTTGGCACAATGCCTAGAAAAGGAAAGGAGATGAATAGTTATTTGTTGAGTGAATGAACGAATGGTACTTCACAGTTGTATGAAATCCAAAACCTGCCCTGGGTCAGGGGATGAGGAAAATATACCTTACTCCCTGACCAAACAGTCATCCCCAACCATAGGCTATCTACATTACTATCTTTGAAAAAGATACATCTTTGAGAGTAGAAAACCCATAAATGGACCCAAAACTATATAGTCAACTAATTTTTGACAAAGCAGGAAAGCATATCCAATGGAAAAAAAAGTCTCTTCAACAAATGGTGCTGGGAAAACTGGACAGCAACATGCAAAAGAATGAAACTGGACCACTTTCTTACACCATACACAAAAACAAATTCAGAATGGATTAAAGACCTACATGTGAGACGGGAAACCATCAAAATCCTAGAGGAGAACACAGGCAGCAACCTCTTTGACACCAGCCATAGCAACTTCTTACTAGACATGTCTCTGGAGGCAAGGGAAACAAAAGCAAAAATAAACTATTGGAACTTCATCAAGATAAAAAGCTTCTGCACAGTGAAGGAAACAACTAAAAGGAAGCCTTAGGAATGACAGAAGATATTTGCAAATGACATCTGTGATAAAGGGTTAGTATCCAAAATCTATAAAGACCTTATCAAACTTGACACCCAAGAAATAAATAATCCAGTTAAAAAATGGGCAAAAGACATGAATAGACACTTTTCCAAAGAAGACATCCAGATGGCCAACAGACATGAAAAGATGCTCAACATCATTCATTATCAGGGAAATACAAATCAAAATCACAATGAGATACCACCTCACACCAGTCAGAATAGCTAAAATTACCAACCCAGGAAACAATAGATTTTGGCAAGGATGAAGAGAAAGGAAAACCCTCTTACACTATTGGTGGGAATGCAAACTGGTGCAGCTACTCTGGAAAACAATATGAAGTTTTCTCAAAAAGTTAAAAATAGAACTACCCTCTAATCCAGCAATTGCACTACTAGGTATTTTCCCAAAGGATACAAAAATACTGTATCAAAGGGCACATGCACCCCAAGGTTTATAGCAGCATTATCAACAATGACAAATTATGTTAAGAGCCCAAATGTCCATTGACTGCTGAATGGATAAAGAAGATGTGGTATATATACACAATGGAATATTACTCAGCCATAAAAAAGAATGAAATCTTGCCATTTGCAATGATGTGGATGGAGCAAGACTAAGTGAAGTAAGTCAGAGAAAGACAAATACCATATGATTTCACTCATATGTGGAATTTAATAAACAAAACAGTTGAACATAGGGGAAAGAAAAAGAGAGAGAGAGAGAGAGGCAAACCATAAGAGAGACTCTTAACTATAGAGAACAAATGGAGGTTTGCTGGGGGGAGGGACGTGGGGGGGGGGTGATGGGCTAAATGGGTGATATGTATTAAGGAAGGCATTTGTTGTGATGTGCACTGGGTGCTATGAATCACTAAATCCAACTCCCGAAACTAATATTACACTATATGTCAACTAACTAGAATTTAAATAAAAACTTGAAATACTAAAAAAAAAAAAAAAGATACATCCATGAAGTACAAGAACAATGGGGACCCTCTCTTCACCTGAGAGAATTAAGTTCTAATGGCCTGAAGCATCTACTATGTCAGAAATTAACTTCTCTCTTATGCATCTAGAATGTTCTATGTCATCTTTAGGAAAACTGTGAAAATAGTCACCCAAATCATTTTCTGTGGTCAGTTGGGAAAGGCTGAGTATATGAGGTATCCCCATGCCTGAGCGGCAAGCCTTCTATGCTGTGTAATTGCAATTACGCTGTGTCACTATAGATAATTACTCTTCATTATTGGCTAATTTCTTCTATTTCCTGGTATTCTGTTTAACCCTGCCCAGCTTAATTCTATATTGGTGGCAGGAACCTATACTTTAAGCCTGCTGTTTTAACTCCTCACTATTAGGGAACACTTCCTTTCTCAAGTCCTCTTTGTCCATTTCAGTACTACATACTATGGGGAGCTAGGCATGGGGGGGTTCCATGCTTCTGGTCCGGGTCATCATGCAGTTTCTGATATTTCTCGGTAGGCCACAGAACACAGTCAGTGCCAAGAATTTCAGGAGATTGGGGCAGGGAGCCTAGAACCCCACGGTGAAGTCTGTTGCAGAGCATACAGCACTAGGAGCTAATCCAGGGACAGCCAGAACACCAGGTGGAGGAGGGAGCAAGCAGGACTGAGCGTTCCCGTGCAGTGGAGGCCTGCTGGCCGGCTGACTCACCATCATTCTCCTGAGAAAAACAAGACTCCCTCTCCCTCTGCTTTGCTGCTCTTGGGAGGAGCCCAAACCCCAAGACAGCTGGGACAAGAAGGTGAAAACAAGGCTTTTTGATCACTTTATATGAAGCCTTGATATAAGGAGACAAGAGCCTATTTCTTCTATTTCCCTCAAACAAAATATGGCTCAGCAGTTTGCTTAATCAGAATACATCCTGACTATTTTCTCGGCTATTTTACCACTTTAAGTCCGCCAACCACTCTTTTAAGACAGATGTGACAGGAACAGTACAACCTGTATGTCTCTTCAGGAACAATAAGTACAGAATTATTATAGATACAGGAGATGCACGCTTTTCATATATCCTTATTTTGCTGCTGAATTTCTAAAGTTCAGATCCTTATCTAAAATTTCCAGTAGTACATATAACAGCCTATGGGCACCTGGGTCGCTCTGTTGGTTAAGCATCTGCCTCTTGATTTCAGCTCAGGTCACTATCGAGCTCATGGTCATGAGATCGACCCCACCAGGGGGCCCCATGCACAGAACCTGTTTGGGGTTCTCTCTCTCTGCCCCTCCCTGACTCATGTGTGCTCTCTCTCTCTCTCAAAATAAAGAAATAAACATTTAAAAAATAAAATAAAATAAAATAAAATAAAATAAAATAAAATAAAGCAAAATTGTTCTCTAATACCACTTGGGGGCTAAGTGATACTGGTAAATAAAATAAGTCATTCAATTAGGTTTTTCTTTGTGTCTGAAAGATGTTTGCTATCACTTAATAGGTTTAGAAATAAAAGATCAGCCCTACACAGACTGCTCCCCTCCTCAAAGATCTAAGTCAGCTGTGGGTGTGTTGACCGGACCAAGAAGGTCCCCATTTGGGGTAAGTCACTGAGGAAAATGAGATGAAGCATACTTCCATGCTTCTTGATGGTTTTTTCTCTTCAGAGAAGCTGTTGGAATAATAGTCTATGTGGTCATCCAAACACTGTACTTATGAAACATGAATATATAACAGCAATAAAAGCAAATACAGTTGATCTTTGAACAGCATGGGTTTGAACTGCGCAGACCCACTTAAGTGTGGATTTTTTTACTAAAAATGGATTTCTCTTCCAAATGGTTTCCTTAATAACGATTTCTTTTCTCTAGATTACTTTATTGTAATAATATAGTATATAATACCTTCAACCTACAAAATATGTGTTCGTTGACTGTTGATATTATCGGTAAGGCTTCCTGTCACAGTAGGCTATTAGTAGTTACGTTTTGGGGGAGTTAAGGTTATATATGAATTTCTGGCTGCATGGGGCTCCAAACGCTCATGTTGTTCAAGGGTCAGTCTACCAGACCACTTACTGTGACCAAGCAGGTACCATAAACCTTTTACATATATCATATCATGGAGTTCTGATAAAAACCCCATGGAAGGGATGCCCCTATTCATCTCATTTCACATATTAGGAAGCTAAGGCACTGAGAGATAAGTAAGCTTCAGTCACACAATAAGTACGTTGGAAAGATATTGGAATAAAAAGAGTTGGGAGAGAATACTACCTCTGGTCACCAAATTTTGTTTCCATCACCACTTAATTAAAATTTGGCTCAGGAAAGTGTTCATATTCTCAACAAAAGAAGAAAACCAAAAACCTCCTTGCCTTAGGCCAGGCCTGCCCTCCTAGCTATTAGCAGCTTGCATGTTACAATAGACGGTGCATCCTCCTGCTGACAAAGTTAAACTGAGGTTCGTTCTCACTAAATATTCATGCTGTGGGTAAAGAGAACTGCTATCTGTGTATGTGGACTGTGTTATCAGGAGTGATTTCATATTCTTTCTCCTTCTGCATCAGAAACAGAATAATGGAGACTTCTAAAATCCCCGAGTCCCCAAAATGGTCATTCTAGCCATTATCATCTCCCTACCCAAAAACTTAGTAAGAGACCAGGTCTCTGGTTTATTCAAACAACCAGAGAGTTCCTTGGTATAGCGCTTCATGCTCTGGCTACCCTGTGCTTAGAAAGGATGCTTCCTTACTGGGACCTCGTCCCTATACATTTAAAAAGGACAACTTATTATTACTTCTTAAATGTTTATTTTATTTTTCAGAGACAGAGAGAGAGAACAAGCAGGGGAGGGGCAAAGAGAGAGGGAGACAGAGGATCCGAAGCAGGCTCTGCGCTGACTGCAGAGAACCTGATGCGGGGTTCAAACTCGTGAACCCTGAGATCATGACCTGAGTCAAAGTCGGTCGCTTAACTGACTGAACCACCCAGGCACCCCTAAGAAGGGCAATTTAGAAAGAGCAGTAGTTTTATTTTTATTTAAAAAAAATTTTTTTAATGTTCTTTTTGAGAGAAAGAGACAGAGCGTGAGGGATAGGGACAGAGAGAGAGGGAGACACAGAATCAGAAGCAGGCTCCAGGCTCTGAGCCGTCAGCACAGAGCCCAATGTGGGGCTCAAACTCACGAACCTTGAGATCATGACCTGAGCTGCAGTTGAATGCTCAACTGACTGAGCCACCCAGGTGCCCCTAGAAAAAACAGTAGTTTTAAAATATAGTTACTGCTGCCCTCACTAATACTTCAGCAACTATCTTGTACATTTTAAGTGAGCCTTTTTTAACCTAAACCAATTATACAGACCATCGTCTCCAAAAAAATATTTGCCACATTTGGGACGCCTAGATGGCTCAATTGGTTAAGCAACTCACTGTC